TAAATTATTCTTAAATTCTTAGAGTACGAAAACCTGAAAGCTCCTCTGTTAAATTTTCTTTCTTCTGCAAATCTCATGTTTTGGTCTCTGCTACACTATGCACTGTCAACCAATTTATTTCATTAATGGTACTCATCATTTAATTGGCTTGTAAAGCCCACTCCAGTCTGTTATCAGTAAGTGTGTTTGTTTGTGCTAACTCCAAATTGGATCCACGCTGTTCAGATCTTTCTAAAAAATCATTAATTCCCCAGATTGCAATAATGACAAGGGAGAACAAAATGGATTCTGGTAAAAGTTTGTTTGTAAACGTGAATTGTCTACACGCCATTTGGAACACTGTGAACAACAAAGAAGGAAAATAAATACTTCTGTTTTGAAAGTGTAAGTAGAAAGAAAGCCTCCTAATGATATTCAAAATGCTCCACAAGCGTTGTAAAAGTATTTGATGTAATAAGAATATCCTAACAGATAATGGGGTTGGGGGGGGGCAGAAAATAGTACTTGAGAACATGCACACCAGTGTAAAAGCTAAAATACTATCAGTTGCCTTTACAAATGGATTCCCATCCTTGACTGAACTCATGGCTATGCTAACACGAAAGCATGCTTGGTACAAGAGCAGCAAAAATGACAGTGGCTCTTTCTTTAGACTGCAAGGGGGTGGAGGTTTGGGTGCTGGACTGGGATGTCTGAAACTCAAGTTCAAATATCTGTTGAGTCCCATGCAGCTCAGTGTTAACCTTCAAGCCCTAATGGCTTAGGGTCTGGATATCCCAGGAACCACCTTTTTCATTATGACAGCTGATTTAAGATCTGCAGAAGAGGCCCTTTGGAGAACAGCCTGACTCACATAGGCATGTTTGACAGGCACATATGAAAGGATTTTTTCTGGCATCACTCCCAAATTGTGGGATGCTTTCCATGCAGAAATTAGATTGCACCCCACACTGGGAAAAAGGTTAAGGCACATCACTTTAATTTGGTCTTTCAGATGCTGTTTTACTGCAATTACAATGCAGTTTTATTGTGTGTATATATGATTGTTTTTCTTTGCAGCATTGCACAGTGCCTTTGTGACATCTGTGAAAAGGTGGTGTATACATGTCATTAAGAAATCATATTAATACATATATCTTTGCTTAGGATATTCACTGTGCAAGTTTGGACAAATAATTGATGTTTGGGAGGGAAAAGGTTCCAGTTGATTCAAGGGCATAGAAAACTTAGTCCCTATTTTCCTCAGGTTCTTTGGATCCACCATTCATCTTACCCTGTAGCCTGTGGCATAGAAGAAGCCATGCCTCCTATGTTGTCCCGGCTACCTCAGCTGCCCAGGGGGCAAGGGCACTTGGGAATGGGAAGAGTGGTGCATGCTTGTAGTCCAAAGGCTTCAGGTTCCAGAGAGATCATTTACATTAATGAATGTCCACAGTGCCTGGGCAGAATGGAACTAGCCCAGCTATGTGAATGCAAAGCAACTCTTCTTCAATTCCATTGGTTCTTTTCTGTGTTGTGGTGGCATCAGTCCTGTGGTTTAGCCACCATGTGGCATTATGTGAACATCTGTACCAAACCCTGATCTGGAGAAAAGAAACCCCATGTTTACAACATGAGGAAACTCTGACTCATTGGCCAGAAGATTCTGTGTTTCTATTTAATCAACATCTGAGTTGAAGGATAATTAGGACCTCGTATGTGCAGCTCCTGTACTGTTTCTGTCTGCTAATAATAATTTCCATGTGGTGTTAACCAAAGTGAACAGTTGCCTAGAGCCCTGAACAAATTGGGCTCGTACATCACGCAGTCCTGGTGGTGTATGCTTGCCTGTGGAGGGTGGCATGTGTTCTGCAGGCATGGGGCTGGAAAATAATTTTTTCATGGGGTTTATTAATGAAGCCTCATAATTCATAGGTTTGTCTCACCTCATGTGTAGTGGTCTCTTTTCTCCTGTATTTGAAAAATGTCGTACACTTTACTGCTAAATCTTTCATGTTAAAAGAAATATAAAGGGAAGGGCTATACCTGCCATTTTGGCAGTGCCTTCTTGCAGACATGCTGCATCAATGGTTTTAGAAGGAATTCCCTTGTTCCGGAGAGAATCCATTAGGCCATGTGAGTGAGCCCTGTACTGGATGTGGTCTACCAACCAGGACGCTGCCCACCAGTTATGCTCATCAGCACCACGAAACCTCCTGCTTTAACTCTGTGCTTGGGACTACAAAAGGGTGTGCATTTGCAAAGCACCTGGTGAAGTGCTTTACATATGCATATCCTATATGCATATGCATATCCTTTGTAAAATGAGGACAGTTTCCAACATAATGCATTAAATATTAGCATAATTGCACCATAATTGGAAACTAGGATAAGCAATTAAACTATGGAGCTATCTGAAAACAAAAATGTTCCAGTGGAAATGGTGGGAACTGAACCTGAGCTCTGGTAATTGAACAGTTTTGTAAGGATGGGCTTCTGGGTGCTTTATACATGTCTGCAGATTGGGGAATGGCAAGGCTATCTGATCATTATCAGCACCCTCCACCTACTGCTTTTTTGTTGGGATCATATCTTCTAAGCCAAAAACGGATGGGTAGGACAAGTAACACATCCACCTTCCTCGTGGCTCTACTGCTTCAGAAACCACCGCGACAATTTCTGTGCTCACCTGCTGCTTCTGTCGTCAGGGGGGAAGAGAGAGTGAAGGCTCAGCAAGTCGACACAAGGGAAAGGAAGTGAAGCTGGAAATTAAACTTGCGGCATTATCAGTGCAAGGAGAAGAACGGAGCAAATGAATTTATCTGTGGGAGATGTAGTTCATAGCACATAGCTAACTCCAGTAGATGCCTGTCAGTTGAATACCCCCTCCTGCTCCCTTCTGCTTTGGATGCCCCCTGTTGGACTTGCTGTTGAGTCCCAGGCTAGTCTGATATGAAGTTTCCTAAAAGTTAGTATGGCTAACTTAAAAAAATGTACTTTATGACTGAAATCTTCACACTTAAGGCCCATTCTCTAATCACAAACCTCATCATACCAATGGCCGATAACCAGCAGATATGCATATTCTGCACAGCAGGCACAGTAGGGTCTAGAAGAGAGAAACTTGTGAACCAGTTCAGAGCTTCTGGGTAACTGGAGCTATAAGAGCCAATAGGCACATGCCTCTGGCCCAGAGGGATGTCCAGGGCCCAAAATACATGCATTTTTAATCACATACTTTTGTCCTTGAGTGCAGGGTTGTTCTCCACAAATTACCCTGATCTGAGTTGGTAGCCTAGTGTGGGAACAGCGCAGCTGTAATACTTGGCTTCTGCTGCAACCCCAGTCAGAGTTGGGGGTACCACACCTGCATTTTGCATCACCAGGAAAGCAAATGGGACCTCTTTTGGCAACACAAAGAACAAGGGAGAGCCAGTGTGGTGCAGTGGTTAAGAGCATGGGACTGGGACTCAGAGGATCTGGGTTCTAGTCCCCGCTCAGCCATGGAGCCAACTGGGTGACTTTGGGCCAGTCACAAACTCTCAGCTCAACCTACCTCACAGGGTTGTTGTGGGGATAAGATGGAGGAGGAGAATGATGTAAGCTGCCTTGAGTCCTTTGTAGGAAAAAGGCAGGATATAAATCGCAATATAAACAAACAAACAAACAAATAAATCTGGAATGGGGCTGCAGAAGGGGCAAGAACATCATATGTTGATGTTAGCCTGATTTAGGTCAAGGGACCCATGCTGGCAATCTCTGAAGAAAAGTACCATGCCACCAAAGGCCAAAATATATGATTAAACTCATGACATTTCCCCCTTCTTCTCTCCTATTGTGTGATGACTTGTGGATTAGAAGGTTGATGGTTTGATTAAAGCCATGTATAATTTTGCCCTAAGCAATGAGGAATTGAAGAGAATGAGGGAGAGGCAGGGGAAGACACCACCGGACAACAGCTTCTGTTCCAGCGAGACTGTTTTCCACCCATGGCAGGGTCATTTAATGCTAATTATCATGTAGGAAAGAACATGGGACGCTAGCATCTGCTCAAACAGAGCTGTTTTGTTTTCATTTTAAATGTGTGGTTCTTGGTGTATCACTTGTATCTTGCTTGGAGGACTACGGTCAAGAAATGAAACACAACTTGGCCAAATAAATAAGCTATAGGCACCAACAAAAATCATCCTTCCTGGCCTCCCAGGGCCACTACAGAGAAGGTCTCCACAAGTGCCTTCATTAGCTCTCAGTGCTGATGGTTGCTGCTGTAGTCATCCAGAGATGCCTGTGTGGCTATTTCTTGGCCAGGTTCCAGGCTGCTGTGCAAACTGGACAGAGCGTGAGATGAAACAGTAGCGGGTACTTTTTAAGAAGGCATGCTCCATAATGGTGTCTTTTCTTTTAGCAAAATTATGTTATATGAAATCTGAAGATGGATGTGAAATGTGTTCTGTTCCTTTTTTACAAAAATTTGGCCAATTCATCTGGATGTAAACATAATCTGTGGTCTGATGTCTAAATATAGCTGTATTTGTGATAGATTTCATACAACAGACATAAATGTGTACATTGAAATACGTGCACAAAAGTATGTGCAGATTTTTGTACAGAAAGAACCCAAATCCAGTACAGACATTAATAATAATGAACTGCATGGCAGAAATTGAAGAACTTCAATGAGGTTGAGTTTTGCTGATTCACCAGCTCCTGCCGAAATCACATGGGATTATATTAGATTAGAGTGCTCAGCAACTTTACTTTCTAAAGGGCATATAACCATAGCTCTGTAGTGGTTAGAGACACCCTGAGTAACAAAAGGTTTTTTTTAATCCTGAAACATAGTGTCGATGTGTTATTTCTCTTTGAAAAGGAATCAATATTACTGGTCTTTCCTTACTTTAACTTTTCACACTGAATATTTATGTGCACATTATAGAATACCTGTGGGATGTGTGTCTGTTTCCTTCCTTTTCTATGCTTCCATTGTTGGAATAATTCCTTTCTTCCCTTTTTTGTGACAGTTCCTTCCTTTTGGGGTTTGGTGAATTCAGCCTGGAACCTTTGCTCCGTTGGAAAACGGCAATCGCCAGTCAATATAGAAACCAGCCATATGATCTTCGACCCCTTCCTTACACCTCTTCGCATAAACACAGGGGGGAGAAAGGTAAGATTCTGGTTGCAGCTTTGGTTGTTCACTGAAAGCAAGATTTAATATTGACTCTTTTCCATATGCATGATGATGCCTTCAGCATCAGCTGAGATCTCAGGTTCCCTGCCTTGGAGGGAAACTACACTTTCTGTGTTTCCCTTCCCATTAGCAAAACCATACAGACTTTTTAATCATGTGCTATGATGCATCTCATGTACTATTGTTAACTGAAGGAAGTTTGCCTTAATGTTTGGAGACTTCTAGACATGTGGTTTGCAGTTTTCACCTTATGAAGGCTGGTTACATCTCTCTACTCAAAGATCTTCTGCATCTTTCTTATCGTGCCAGAGACAGTGAAGGCCTGTGTTCTGAAGCCTGTGAAGGCCTGTGTTCTGAAGCCTGTGAAGGCCTGTGTTCTCAAGTATCTCAACCTGAGGCCATGAAAATGTTCCATCTACTTTTTCCTAACACTGGATGAACATTCATCCTCCTTGAAGTTTTAACTGTTTAGGTTACTGGCAAAGTATTCTGTCCCCTGCAATTTTCTCTAAGCTTTTAGCTGTTCAGTCAATGAGGAATAGGCTTACACTTGAAATGTGTCTCCCCACCACCACCACCATTCTAGAACTAAAAGCTAGTAATGGGACGGTCTATAAATCAATCAATCAATCAATCAATCAATTTTACTGCCCTTTTTGTGGGCAAAGGAGTCCCCTTTCAGCAGTGATTTGGTAGCAGGGAGTGAACAGGGGCAAAGTGTCTGCTCATTTTCTAGTGGGGAAGAAAGCACTTTATTGTATTGGCCATGCCATGATGATAATCAGTCTCTCTTCCTCTCCCTTCCTCCCTCCCTCCCTCCCTCTGTGCCCCACCCCCCACCCCACAATTGCTGGGCTGAGAGGCTGGGCCATGAAAGGGAAAAGAAGAGCATGTTTCTAGTTCTGTAGTAGATGCATCCCTGTCCTCATCTCACTGCACTGTGGTTATTTCATGGTCTACTCCTACCTTTAGGAAACATAAGGAAGGCAATCCTGCACTAACTGGGCAACTAGGTTGTATATTTTGAATGTTAAAAAGTTTTCTTGCTTGCATGATAACTTAGATGAGCAAAACTGTTTCTGACAGGGGAGGCAATGATATGAGTGAGATGCAGTAAACACCTCAGAAGGTCAGCCATCTCATGGACACACAGTGTCCACCGTGGGAGGCCTCCTCATGAGGGAGGTTGAGTCAGCACCTCTTTGCTATGAGTCAACAACTCTCCCATGAAAAGCAGTCCATAGGTGCAGCTGGCCACTCAGTCAGAAGGCTGCAGTAAGCTGCTTTGGTTGGGGCAGTGTGCCTGCTAGGATAAGCATCGCTTCCCTTGCATATAACCTTCTAGTTGCCTTGATAATAGTTACCTTCATGGTAGGAGTTACACTGTTAGCATGCTCATGTGAGTATAATCTTAAGGTTAAAGGATATTCATTGGCACTCTCTGCTCTCTTTAACTTAGATCTACAGGAAAGGAGAAGTTGCCTAGGGAGATAGTGGGCTGTCCCATACTAGAGACATTCAAGGCGAAACTGGACAGCCGTCTGAGTGGGATGGTATAAATTGGTGTCCTGCACCAGCAGGGGGTTGGACCCTGTGGCCTTCATGGCCCCTTCCAACTCTACTGTTCTATGATTCTGTGAAGTGATTCGTTAATTAATACTGTGAAGTCATATACATTAAATGAAGAGGCCCTAAGCATTCTCTTCCTTTGTGGTGTCAACTCTCTCCCCCTCCCCCCCCGCCCCCATCTATTTATACTAAACTCAGCTGAGTATAACGTCAGCAGGTCTTTGGTATTCTCTGGAAGCAACAACCTAAGGGAGGTACAGTTCACTGCTAGCTGAGTGGTCTCCTAGATCCTGAAAACTGGTTAAAGGGTCTACTCAAGAGCTCTAGGAAGGTGAGGAGCTCAACCAGATGATATTTCTGCTTCTTGCACCATTGGCTACAAAGTGTGACGTGATGTTTTCTCATTCAGTACATAATCCTTGATTGGCTGATATCAAAATTTTCCTGTAGACAGCCATTGAAAATACTAAACCAGCTCAATTTGGCAGGGTGCCTCTCCTTCAAATTCCCCTTTCTGCCCACACAATGCAGACAGTCATTCAGCACAGCCCTACTTAGGAACAATTTAAGGTGAGTTCACAGAGGCTTGTTTTCAGATTCATCCCTTTATCATTAAGCAGTAACTTGGAAATATACAGCAGGCACCACAGATTCAGCAAAAACGAATGTGAAAGAATATCACACGGCATTACAATTTACCCAAAGCTTTTTCATGCAAGTAGGTTCATTTTGGCAGCAAGTCATTGAGCAATTTGACCACAAGTAGTGACTGTTTACATGGAAACCCATTATCCAATATTAGCATTGTGCATCCTAATACATGGGCACTGAGAGAAGATCACTGCAGTTCAAAAATAATTCTGATGTTGCAGATTCCTTTGCATAAGGCCACTGCTTATGAGTTTGAAAGCTAAGCATATCTTGCACATATTATAAGAAAGTAGCGAATCCAAACTGCCTTCCACAGCTCTGCCTGGATTCGGTGGGTAAAAGCAAACCAGTTCTGCATTAAGATGTTCTGCATCCACCACCCGAAGCCTTACTACTTGGTTTCTCCAGGGCAATAGATATCATTGTGGTTAGTTTCTTATCCTCCCCATTTAAATTCCAGTGTCTTAATGCTACCAACTAAGCTGCTATGCTCCCTTTAATCAGGGTCATGAACATGGTGATAACAACAGTAGAGATAATAATGATGAATCTACATTGTAGCACGTTTGGTATTTATGCCATTCACTACTGCACCTTGTCAAATGCCTATACCAGTGGTGGCGGACCTATGGCACGCGTGCCACAGTGGGCACGCAGAGCCCTCTCTGTTGGCATGCGAGCCAAGTCGCCCCAGTATCGCCCCAGCAGCCGAGCATTGGAAACAGCACCCATAGGGGCCATGCGCATGCTTGGAAAGGAGTAGCGGCACCAGGAGATGATGTCACGAGCCGCGACTCATTAGCCGCAACTTGTCCGAACTTTTGCATGGCCAGTCAGTGCGATGCCAAGGATATGTATATATTTGCTTGGACTGGCTGTGAGTTGTTTTTTTTCTAAACTAAAATCTCAGTTTTCAGGTTTTATTGCCGTGTTGGCACTTTGCGATAAATAAGTGGGTTTGCGTTGCAGTTTGGGCACTCGGTCTTTAAAAGGTTTGCCATCACTGGCCTATACAGTCTCTCTCCAAATGACAGCTGATTTTCCTAGCCTCTGCTAAATCAGAAGTTGAATTAAAATGTGTTCCATATTCAAGGGGTGGGAAACCTGAAGGTCAATGGCCAAATGTGGTCATCCTGAAGCCTCAGACTCTCTGCAGATAGTCATTGTCCCTTCCTCTTGCCTTGCCCACTTTTCCCCAGCCACCAAGCATTTGGTGGCATCCTGGCTTTTGTGTAGCTTTTCCCCATTCTGAAAGGTTGAAATGCCTCTCCTTTTGTTTGTTTGGCATTTTTGGTCCCATCCTACTTGCCTTTCGCACTACCCAACACTGGAATAGAGCCCCCTGAGATCTTCTCTGGCAGTGAATTTGGTCCTCAGGCTGAAAAATGTTCAGTCTAAGAGAGCAATAGATGATCCTGATATGGGATTGTGGGTCACAGGAAGAGCTACCTTTCAAATCCTCATCACTGGAACAAGAGTGAAGTTTCCATTTTGTGTACAGTTCAATTTTCTACGAGCCATTTTCCACTGGGAAATTTATTATACCGGATGTCCTTAAACTGGGATCTTAGTGAGTGTCAATCACTTGTGAATATGAAGGACTCTGTCTGTGACCATATTGGCCTTGGGACATAATCTCAGTTCTCCCAGACTGACTGAAAGATGCAAAGCTAGAACTACCTCCTGTTGAAGGATGCCTGGAGCATCCCCATGGGAGAGACTGTTGTCCAGTTCCTAGTAAGCCATGATACATAGCAGTGTGCCACATTCAGCTTGATGAGCCAGAGATTAATGCAGGCCTGGTCCAATGTGTACTATTGGTTGGCTGTGACTCCTCCTCCATTTTTACTGCCTGAGACAGAAAGCAAAGCCAACAAATTAATGGTGTCCTCAGCTGGCCATTGCTCATGGCTGTTAGATCATTTTCAGCATGTCTAGCCACATGTTGTTGAGGCCTCAATCGAGACAAAACACCAGAGCTGAGATTTCTAGAATAAGGGGTATTCCTTTCCTGCATTCCCACAGCATTCCTTGGTAAAACCAGACAACATGGGATTCAGGCAGTAACCCATAGGTTTGGCAAGATATTGCCGTAATATTTGGAAATGAAAGCCTTAATACACGAATAAGGGGTCTGTGGCCTTTCCAGTATTCTTGGACTGTGGCAGTCATCTTTCCTGACATTGCTTATTTGGCTGAAGCTGGAAACCAACAAGTTCCCCACCACTTCCACGTCTTAAAACATAGTAGCATGAACAACAAGAGTGGGCAGACATTGAAGGTGGCCAGTTGTTCTTGTGCCATGAACATGCAAGTATTTCATGGTGATGTCATGGGATCATTCTTTCATTGCTTACTTTGCATCTTCCTTTGACTATGAAGAAGTTCTGCAGCCCCACAAGAGAGTGTGTTGCTGGCACACCTAATTGGATTCCAAGATCTGAAATATCAGCTTGAGATGCTTAATGAGTTTACATGCAGATGAATTTCCCCAGAAGGAATGCAGATATAGAAGAAAATCCTCTATATTTGTTTTTTTGTTTTTGTTTTTTTGCTTATGTGATTAAAAAAGTAAGAACAACAAGCCTACATACAGATAAACTCTCGCTTCTGATAGAAAATCCAGACTCTTGTTAATTTACACAACACATTTCCCTGCTCTTCACAAACAAGGAGAAATAAAATATCACTTTCTGTGGTTTCCCTTGGTGCTCACAACACATAGATATCACTGGAGCAAGCAAAGAATTAAGGGA